TCCACGTATTGGGGATTCCTTTTCATGCGATCCAAAATAGACAATCATAGTAGATATAGGGCAACTTTAGTTCGAACTGAGGGGCGTGGCTTAGTGGGGAGGAGTCAAATGAGCGTGGCTCAGGTATGACCTTGGGTGTGGTGGCATTGACTTGAGGAATAAAAAAAATAATTATTTCTGGTAGCTTTGACGTGTTGGTTGTCTATAAATGTAACTAATAAATCATCAAATGAATTTCAGATTAATCATTCCAAAGGTGTTTTTGAAATCATCACATAACTTCTTTGCATCGTCTTTTCATGCAGTATTGAAGGAATACATACATATATACCCACAGGTTGAAAAAAAATCATAGTAGATATAGTGCTACGTCAACCCGACCTAAGGGGCGTAGCTTGGAGGAGTAAGTGGGCGGGATTTAGGTGCACCTTGGGCTTTGGCAAGTATTTGAATATTTTGAAGGCATTGCTTCTACGTATACCTAGAAACATTCCCTCAGCAGCAACTGTCAGTGTATAGGTCTTACTTGCGTTCAGACCGAGTTGCAATCGATTCAGGTAAGTAAGATCACGCAAGGACCCCGCTGAGTTTGTTGATAATGATTCGATTTTCTCTGATATCTTTTCTAGTTTTCACCTATAATGTATTTCGAAAGTAGTTGATAGTAGACACGACCTTTGTATCAAAGGAAACGAGAAGGACTGGTTGAAAATCTTGATTCAGAAGATTTTGTTTCCTAATACGAAAATAGCTGGAAAGATGACGGCTCTTCGTTTTTAGTTCGAATAAATTCGTTCTCTGTTAGAAAAACGATGATATCAATCAAAAATCAACCAAGAGATAGATTGATCGTTCAATCTATGATGCAAATAAATGGAACGTGGTGCGCAGTGATAATTTATCGCAAGCTGACTGACTGGACACGTCACTATTATGATACACACATACCAATACACTGTTATCAAGTTTTGCACACAGGACATTCTCGGGGCACGCTAACTTTCTGCATTCGATTCCATAAGATAAAACTATCTTTTACCCTTTTATCACAGTAGATGTAGGGCTACTTTAGCTGGTGAAGGCAGGTGGAGCTTTGACCTGTCCACAGGGAATGAAGAACGAAACAAAAACAATCAGAGTAGATATAGGGCAACTTTAGCCCGACCTAAGGGGCGTGGTTCGGGAGGAGAGGAGTCAAATGGGCGGGCTAAGATGCGACCTTGGGTGTGGTAGCCTTGACATGATGTTGCCTATGAATGTAACGAATGAATCATGCACCCGAACATACGCTGATGCTCTCAGATTCTATTCAGAGGATAGCTATTCGCCTGGTGTGTGATGCCATCATGAGAACACCGTAGAAAGTCGGCGATCTTACACTTTTTTATTGATACTTCCACGAGAAACATTCCTCAGAAATATCTGCTATAATTCCATCACTAGCAATAACTAGCAATACCAGTCAGACGAACTCGACAGGCCCAGACTGCACACCCCTTCGTCGTTAACCTTGAAAAATGTCGAACAATACTCTACCAAAACTCGTTCGTTTATAGAACGACGAAGCTTTGGAATTCTTCTTCGTCAGATAAGCTCGGCTCAGGTATGACATTGGTTGTGGTGTCATCGACTTCAGGAACTAAAAAAAAAATTGTATGGTAGTCTTGACGTGTTGGTTGTCTATAAATGTAACACAAAAATTACCAAATGAATTTCAGATTCACTCTTTCAAAGGTGTTTTTTTTTTGGAATCATCACATAACTTCTTTGCATCGTCCTATCATGCACCTTGGGCTTTGGCAGTATTATTTCGAATAGTTGAATATTTTGAAGACATTGCTTCTAGGTATACTTGGAATCGTCCCCTTCGCAACAACTATCAGTGTATAATTATTGGTTCCGTTCAGACCGAGTTACAATCGATTAAGGTAAGTGGGATCGCGCAAATAATAAATTAATTGTCTCTGATATCTTGTCTAGTTATTACTAAAAATGTATTTCGAAAGTAGTTGATAGTAGACACGACCTTTGTAGCGAAGGGAAAGATAAGAACTGGTTGAAGATCTTGATTCAGAAGATTTTGTATAGCTTGGAAGATGACGTTCCTTTGTTTTCAGTTCGGACAGATTCGTTCTTTTTTATAAAAACGATATCAATCGATAATCAACCGAAAGATAGGTTAATTGTTCAATCTATACAGGGTGTTGCTGAAGATACAGGGCGTTAAAGTTAAGAAATAAAAATAGTTGTTTCGCAATATCTCAAGAATAATTAAATATAATTCATTCAACTTCGGTATATGGTTTCATCTTTGAATGGGTCATTTTTTGACCAGGAAGCCAATCCGGACATTTCATCCAGTGTTGCCCTACAGGGGGTTGTGGCAACTTTTCCTCCAATATTTTCTACGCAACTGAATAAATTTCGATTATTTCCAATTCCTCGAATTCATTGTTCGATTTTGTTCAAAACATGCATCATCTTCAACTTAGCTGAAATGGATAGTTTTAGAGATATTCGACCCAAAATAGAAGATTGCATAGTAATATTTCATCATTTTCAGTAGTAGAAAATTGCAAAAATATTTTTCTAGTGTTGAGTAGATTATATACTATTCAGATCTCATTCTATAGCTGAACAGAAATAGTAATTCCACGCATAGAGAGAAAACAAGAGTTTTTGTAATTTTCTACTACTGAGGAAGATGAAAAATTACTATGCAAACTTCTATTTTGGGTCAAATATCTCGATAACTGTCCATTTTAGCTCAGTTGAAGGTGATGCATTTTTTCAACATAATTGAATAATCAATTCGAGAAATTGGAAATAATCGAAATTTCATCAGTAGCGTAGAAAATTTGGGAGGAAAAGTTATCACAACCCTCTGTAGCGCACCTCTGGGTAAAATTCTCGGAATGTCTTTCTGGTCAAAAAATTAACCATTGAAAGATGAAACCATATACCGAATTTGAATGCATTATATTCAATTTTTCTTGAGATATTGCGAAAAACCTATTTAAACTTCTAAACTTCAACGCCCTGTATCTCGAGAACTGAACACTTGAAGGCCGTATGTCCCTATCTCAATGATTATGAAATCACGAGGGCTATCACCTGTCAAGCGTTGTCGGTCGAATTTCGCAACACCCTGTATAAACCGAATGAATTGAACTTGGCTGGTGGTGTTGAACTACCCTATCGTAACGAACTAACTGGATACGGCATTATTGTAATTCACACATACCAATACGCTGTTGTCAATTTTTGCATACAGGGCATTCTTGGATTTCATACGATAGTTTTTACCCTTTTATCAGAGTAGATCTAGGACTACTTTAGCCGGACCTAAGGGGCGTGGCTTAGGTGGGGAGGAGTCAAATGGGCCGCATTTAGGTATGGTGGCATACTTTAAAGAACCGAAAAAGAAGAGACGAGACGTCCGAAGTTGCTGTATTCGATGAATCGAATCGAGTACAATGTTGAGTTTGTCGAGTTCCTATGATCGTGTATTCGACGACGTTGCTGACTCTGGTGAAGGCCTGCTACAGGGGATGAAGAACGAAACATAAAAACAGTAGGTATGGGGCTACTTCAGCCCGACCTTAGGAGCGTGGCTTGGGAAAGGAGGAGTCAAATGGGCGGGATTTAGGTTGATAGCATTGACGTTAACAATTTTAGAAAAATTGAGAATGAGAGACTTTCAGAAATTATGTATTTAATGAATCTAGTACATGGTTGAGTCAGTCGAGTACATGTGATCGTGTATCCAACCGACGAGGCAGATGGCGCTTTGGTCTTACTGAATACGTCATATTAGTCATTATTGTGATTCACACATACCAAAATACACTGTTATCAAGTATTGCATACAGGACAATCTCGAGGCGCGTTAACATTCTTTATTGAATTTCATACGATATAACTAGCCTATACTTTTATCAGAGTAGGTGTAGGGCTACTTACGCCCGATCTAGAGGATGTGGCTTGGGAGGGGAGGAGTCAAATGGGCGGGAATTAGGTGTGGTGGCTTTGACGGCAATAAAAAAAAGTGAGACGAGAGACTTTCCAAGTTGCTGTATCTAATGAATCTACTACAATGTTGAGTTTGTCGAGTTCATATGATCATATATCCAATCGACGAAGTTGCTGACTCTGGTGAAGTCGGATGGCGCTTTGGCCTATCCACAGGCAGGGCCGGATTATCCAAAAGGCGGATTAGGCAACTGCGTAGGGGCCCTGCACCGACTAGGGGCCCCGTGCACGAACAAAAAAAAGTTTCATTGAACGAGTGTTTTTGAAAATATGTATACTTCCTCAATATTATTCCCGAATCCTCATATAACCGCGTCGCGTCTCATTTCTGTTTCCTGATCCATCATGATCACGATTCTGTTCTTTTTTCAGATGAATATAATCAATTTTTAAAACGATGGATGTTTGCAATCCAATGAATGTTGGAACAAATTGTGTCAAGCTCCCGAAGAGTTATTTGTCCTGGGCAGTTTTTTTTATATAAGTTGAAAAATATTCCAAGTTGGAACATGACATAAACGAGCACTCAATTTTATTAGTTTCCTTATCGCGTAATTTTTCCACTGATTACAGGCAATAGGTGCTTGTTGTTAAATTGAAACATCGAATGACGTATCCATGGTACTATTGTAGAATTTCTTTTTCACAGCAACGACGCAACGACTGACTCACTTGATAAGTTGGATAATCAATCACTGATAGATAAGTATAATGGCTAACGAGATATGTTTGAAATGTGAAAACATTTGAAATTACAACGGAAATAAGTGCTATTTCAGAACGCGCTGTTTTGTTACAGCGCTGATTTGTAACGCGCTGTTTTGTTTGCTCGAGAAGAGCCCCGAGAATTGCATTGCCTAGGGAGCCTGATAGGGTTAATCCACAGAGGATGAAGGACGGATGAAAAAACATCAGAGTAGATATAGGGCTACTTAGCTCGACCTAAGGGGCGTGGCTTTGGGAAGGAGGAGTCAAATGGGCGGGACTTAAGTGTGATGGTTTCGACATGAAAAAAGGAAGTGACCTTCAGAAATGTTGTATTTAATGAATCGACGAAGTAACTGACTCTGGTGAAGGCAGATGATGCTCTGGTCTTACTGAATACGTAATTATAGTCATTATTGTGATTGACACATACCAAAATACACTTTGTTATCGAGATTTACCCTTTTATCAGAGTAGATGTAGGGCTACTTTAGCCCAATCTAAGGGGTGTGGCTTGGGATGGGAGGAGTCAAATGGGCGGGAATTAGGTGTGGTGGCTTTGACGTCAACAATTCGAAATACGAGAGACTTTCGGAGTTGCTGTATTCAATGAATCTACTACAATGTTGAGTTTGTCGAGTTCATATGATCATGTATTCAATCGACGAAGTTGCTAACGCTGGTGAAGGCAAATGGCGCTTTGGCCTGTCCACAGGGGATGAAGGACGGATAAAAAAAATATCAGAGTAGATATAGGGCTACTTTAGCTCTACCAAAGGGGCGTGGCTTGGGGAAGGAGGAGTCAAATGGGCGGGACTTAGGTGTAATGGCTTTGACGTTATAAAAAAAAGGAAAGAGTCCTTCAGAAATGTTGTATTTAATGAACCTAGTACATGGTTGACTCAGTCGAGTTCATGTGATCGTGTATTCAATCGACGAAGTTGCTAACGCTGGTGAAGGCAAATGGCGCTTTGGCCTGTCCACAGGGGATGAAGGACGGATAAAAAAATATCAGGGTAGATATAGGGCTACTTTAGCTCTACCAAAGGGGCGTGGCTTGGGGAAGGAGGGGTCAAATGGGCGGGACTTAGGTGTGATGGCTTTGACGTTATAAAAAAAGAAAGTGACCTTCAGAAATGTTGTATTTAATGAATCTAGTACATGGTTGAGTCAGTCGAGTTCATGTGATCGTGTATCCAATCGACGAAGTAACTGACTCTGGTGAAGGCAGATGGCGCTCTGGTCTTACTGAATACGTAATTATAGTCATTATTGTGATTGACACATACCAAAATACACTTTGTTATCGAGTTTTACCCTTTTATCAGAGTAGATGTAGGGCTACTTTAGCCCGATCTAAGGGGTGTGGCTTGGGATGGGAGGAGTCAAATGGGCGGGAATTAGGTGTGGTGGCTTTGACGTCAACAATTCGAAATACGAGAGACTTTCGGAGTTGCTGTATTTAATGAATCTACTACAATGTTGAGTTGGTCGAGTTCATATGATCATGTATTCAATCGACGAAGTTGCTAACGCTGGTGAAGGCAAATAGCGCTTTGGCCTGTCCACAGGGGATGAAGGACGGATAAAAAAATAGAGTAGATATAGGGCTACTTTAGCTCTACCAAAGGGGCGTGGCTTGGGGAAGGAGGAGTCAAATGGGCGGGACTTAGGTGTAATGGCTTTGACGTTATAAAAAAAAAGAAAGTGACCTTCAGAAATGTTGTATTTAATGAATCTAGTACATGGTTGAGTCAGTCGAGTTCATGTGATCGTGTATCCAATCGACGAAGTAACTGACTCTGGTGAAGGCAGATGGCGCTTTGGCCTGTCCGCAGGGAGTGAATGCCCACGAGGCCAATCCGATGACAACTCCCTCGGCGACGAGGGGGCTCCCGGAGTCTCCGGAGCAAATGCCGCGGTCCGGTACGGCGTTGTCGGTGCACACGTTTCTGGTCACGTCGAAGGGGTTTGTTTGGCCGTGCATTCTGGCTGCGATGAGGTCCATGCATTCTGTGAGAAAAACGGGTGTTTGATTGGTTATCGGAAGATTGCTAGTTCGGTCTTCGTAGCTTCTCATTTTAGACCAGAGTCGATAATTTTTTAAACCGGAAAAATTATAGTGGAAAAGTTACAGAATATAATCTGAGGTCGGGAAGTGGAAGGGGGTGAGTTTTTGAAGGTAGAGAAGGGATTATCTCGATTTCCGGCAAAACTGTAAGTCCTATGGAAAAAAGTTGAATAGCAAATATTGAAAGGGAATGTTCTCAAATATATTTATGAACACAATAAAAATGGATATATACAGGGTGTTTCTGTTTTTTGTAGCAGGACTTTAAAAGCTTGAAGAAGACATTTTTCAAGATGAAAATCTCATACGAACATATATGCGTGGGAGCTTCGTTTCCGATTTACAGGGTGCCAAAGTTTCAGATTTTTTTTATGTTTTCTTAATTTTCTCCCCTACAATTATCGGACTAATTGATTGAAATATGGTACACCTGATACACTTCAAAATCTCAATATTTGAGGCTGTTTAGCGTTTTTGAATACCTACAGGGTGATAGACTTTCAAGGGTCGTACCCAATTCAACCCTGTAGAACTTTTTTGCGTGCCTGCTTTCAATGGGACAAAGATTCAGATTGTCCTTTCAATTTGGAAACTTTTCGCCCCTATGTAAATTTTTCGAAAACTGTATGGATCTCGAGATAAATGCCAAAAATAAATTACTTGTAATAAAACCGTTATTTCTCAAACACAGTTATTTGACATTTCTTAAACATTTTATTGGAAAATAGAATGACCGGAAGCTTTTATCCCAAATGAAATTCAGTTGCAAAATCAAATTGAATTTTTTGAACACCATTATAATTAAAACTAGGAAAAACAAAAAAAGTTTCAATTTTGAAGAAACTCCTCTAACTGAATTGCAAAATCTGAAATTGTATTGTAGAAAATTCTAGGACACCCTGTATAACTGAAACTGGTTAAACTTTTGATATCAGGGTCTGTATGACACACGGTCTAGGCGCTATACATCGCTAGACTGTCGCTTCTGACGGCTGAGGTGTTGTGAGTTTTAATAATTTAATCTCGTAAACGGCAGTTCTAATTTTATCAGTGCCCTTAGAAGTGGTTCGAATTCCACTTTAAACTGTAGGTCCCGCTTTTCCTCTCCCCGCACAAGTTTCGATGTACAAAATAAATCAGATCTCACATATTATGGACTGATGAGTCCTGTTTCACACGACGAGGCATTGTGAATTTTCACAATCAGCACATATGGGCACACGAAAATCCGCACGCAATTCGACCAAGAAATTTTCAACAAGAGTTAAGTGTTAACATTTGGATTGGAATTTATGGTAATCACCTGTTTGATCCTTATGTTTTACCAGAAAGACTGAATGCCGAGAGTTTTTTGCATTTTTTGCCAACAGAGCATGCCAACATGTTTGAAGAAATACCACTAGATTTGAGAAGAAGGGTGTGGTTTCAACTTGATGGTTGTCCAGCTCATTTTGGAAGAAATGTGAGGAACTGGCTAGATAATAATTACACAAACAGATGGATTGGTCGGATGGGGCCGGTTGGGTGGCCTCCACGATCGCCAGACCTGACCCCTTCAGACTTTTTTGTTTGAGGATTTTTGAAGGAGGAAGTTTATCGAACCCTGGTTCAAACAAGAGAAGAACTTATCCATCGAATAAGAAATGCGTGTCATGAAATAACAGTTCAGCATTTAAATAACGCGAGACGTTCAATTCAGCGCCGGTTTGAAATGTGTCTGGGACAGAACGGTTCATACTTTGAGCATTTACTGTAAGATATTTTATCGAAATCTATTGTGTTTATTTTTCTATTTTGTTCGTATCCTTAAACTTCAATAACTAAATGTCAAATGATGTGTATTATTGGCTCCGGAATGATACAGCGATGTTCAAAATGACGAATTTTGAAACGGCGATGTTGAAATAACGATGATTTTAAACAGCGTGTAATACAATAGCGACATGTAAAACAGCGACGTATCAAAATGGCGATAGTAACAAAATAGCACTTATAACATAACAGCGATGTTATTTTAAAACGATGTAAGAATAGAAACCATTTATTGAATTATCTTTGCATTACAAAATATACTGATAACACTATGGAATAGAACATATACATTCATAATATTGCATGAGTTCATATCATATCGACAAATTTAAAGCAATGGCCTCTAAATAATCCTTAACACACCGCAATGAGTACCTTTGCGTAATAGTTTGGAGGCGTTTCTTCAACTGAGTATACTTGCTTTTAACGGACTCTGTAGTCCTAAAACCAGCTCTGTATCTCAAGGTGAAGTTTTCAGTTTGGGTTTGTTCCAAAAGAAATCTGTCCAAAAGTTTAGACAATGAAGGACGATGGCAATCCATAGCTCTTTGGAAGGCATTATGCCATGCCTCCAACGAATTATTAGTTCTCGGGATATCTGTATTGATTCGATCATACATGTTCCACATGGGTATAGGGTATTTTGGCATAACTCCTTCCAGTCTCCTTCCTACATAGGTATTTTCGGAATAATCTGTTATAGTAGTCATTTCGACGGGAAACCCTTCTTCTTTAATAATTTCGTACGCAAACTGTACGTCTCCTGTTGGAACGAAACTCAATGCGAGCAGGGTTTTACATTTTAATCTGACTTCCTGTCTGTTCACATATAAATTAGCTAGTCCTGGGGTTCTCTGAATTTGACGCCAAAGGTTTTGAGAAAGATGAAAAAAACATCCGCTTACATCCGATTTAGAAAAGATTTCTTTGAATGCATTCACAGCTCCTATTTCAAAATCAAACATAACAGATTTAGGTTCCAGCGTTGGCTGTAACTCTTTAATTTTTTGGAACAGCCTGGAGTAAGTCTCCTTTTTCTTGCTACCAAGAATTGCGTACAGCATCGGAATTGCTTTATTTCCCATAAAAGCATGTATTGTGTAGATCTGTAAAGCAAACTCAGGTGCTATCTTAAATGTTCCGTCAGCACACCAAAGATTAAATTCGGTCAATGTCTGCATGTTCGCATTCGTCCCAAACAATAAAATCCTATCACTTGTGTCTACTCCACTAGAATCGAACAATAAGAAATTGTCACCTTTCAACGTTTTGTGATACTTTAGAGTTATTTTGGATTCAAAATTGAATGATGTAGAATTTTCTGATTGGTTCCTTTGACGATGGACAATCTGCCTTGCGGCGTTATAATTAGGTAAAGCAACCACACCTTCAGGGTTTACATTTTGCGCGCATTCTTGTATAATCAACCTTGGACGATCATTGGTCATTCTTGCTTTTTTCTAATTTGATCTTTTACTATATCAGCTTCATTGCTCCCTATATCCGGTCCATGTGTATGTTCACCAGTCGGGGTTGGATGGTCAACATCATCTTTCCTAACTATAAGTCTACCTCTGCATCCAGTCTTAGAACATCGCCAATTTTCGGTATTAATATACGACTTATCCTTTCTGTATTTGTAACCTCCGAAAAGAAGTATTTTACTACCTTTTTGTGAATCTATAAACTGCATTTTCAAACAACTTTGACAATAAACTCATTAATAAATGTCACGTTGATGACAACAATATTATAACTTCTAGCTGCTTAGTAACGTTAACCATCGCTATTTTATTTATTCGAGTCGTTTAAATGTTACGGCGATAACATCGTGTTTATTTCACATCGCTTTTTTATTACAAAATACATTTCATTACGTCGCTATTTTGTTACACGCTGTTATAGTACATCGCTACTTTGAAAATCGCGAATTCGTAACCCGCTATTTTGAAAATCGTCATTTTGAACATCGCTATACAACTAATTTCATACAGTTTTCGAAAAACATACATGGTGGCAAAAAGTTTCCAAATTGCAGACAATCTGAATCTATGTCCCATTGAAAGCAGAGGCGGCACGCAAAAAGTTCTACAATATTAAATTGGGTACGACCCCTGAAAGTCTATCACCCTGTAGGTATTCAAAAACGCTCAATAGCCTCAAATATTGAGTTCTTGAAGTGTATTAGGTGTACCAAATTTCAATCAATTATTCCCAAAATTGTAGAAAATTCAAAAAACATATTCGCATTCTCCATGTGGTGAAAAATATTAATTCTTTCTCGATTTATTCAACAGAAAACAACTACTTTCCTGGCTATATGCAAAATTGTAGGTAATAAAGAGATCAATAACTTTTGTCTTCACACTTTTCTCACATAACCTAGAAATGTTTGTGAAAAATTCAAATAGCCATGGTTTTCTTCATATATTCTCACTCTTAAAGAAAGGTTTTTTCCGCGAAATTTGGTGAATACTAATACCTCTCCATGTCCCAAATACACTGATTGAAAAATTCATTTATTCACCTTATTTCGACATAATATCGAAAAAGCACCCCCATTTTCAAACGAAATTTCTCGTTTGTTGTTATCTGCTTTTCCATGAAAGTCAGGAGCTTTTTGTTCGTTGAAATTACTTCCTGATGGTGTGAATGATATACAGGTATGTATAAAATCTCAGCATATATTCCTGAGGTCGAAATAGGCCGATTTGAAGCAACTTACATCAGTTCGAAATTGCTCCATGTCCGAGATACAGGGTGGTAAAGTTAAAAAATAGAAAATCGAATTTTCCAAAATGTATGAACATTTTTGAACGTATCACTTCAAGAGTTGGTAGCCGGGAGATTTTAGGGATGCGTAACTCGAATACGGACACCTTTTCACTGTGGCCATCAGAGGGCGTTTAGGAATGCACTTCTTATGTTTTAGAATGGTCATAACTCAAACTAGCTAAATTAAGAAAGATTGGTGTGATCGAAAAACAAAGTAATTAATGATTTCCCTATTATTAAAGAAATGGTTTGATCAGAATTTATTAACAATTAATTTTGAAAAAACAAAATATATGACATTTACTTCCTATCAAAATTCTCAACCAAATTTAGGCACTATCAAGATAAATGGAGAAATTGAAATTCAGGAAACTAACTGTATCAAATACCTTGGTATAATGGTGGACAATAATCTGAAATGGGATCATCATATTGATTATGTCACTAAGAAAATAAGATGCCTCATTCCTAAATTCAAACATTTGAAAAACTTTATTAAATATTCGAAATTTAGAAATGATATACTATGCTCTAGTTCAATCTCAATTAGTTTATGGGATATTAGGATGGGATGGAGTGAAGCAGATATATTTGAAAAAATTGGAAATTGCACAAAAATGGATTTTAAAAATTATTTATGGAAAAGAATATTTGTTTCCAACTGAACTTTTATATAAGGAATCTAAGAAAATGGATATAAATCAACTCTATATTTACAATTTACTGATTCATATTTTCAAAAATAAAAAGGACATTCAGTTCAAAAAACATATCTATGACATAAGAAATAAATATAACATAACATTGAAATATAAAACAAACAAGTCATTTGGACGTAGAAATTTTAAATTTTTGATTCCTTACCTATATAATAAAATTCCAAATGATATTATAAAAACAAAATCACTACAATCCTATACAATAAAAATAAAAAACTGGATATTAAACTCCCCTAAAAATTATTTTATTTCTTTAATTAACATTTAATAATATCATTAGATGAATTTTAATAATAATTGTGAATAAGTATGTATAAATATAAATAATTATGCGTATTGAATGAAATGCTCAGTACACTATATATTATGAATTGAATACTTGTCTCATTTCTTAATGAGACAATTTTCCCTTGTGATAATTTGATATTGTTAAATATTTATTGACCTATGTACATTTATTTATTTTTTATCCTTACTACAAGGTTAACTTCGTAAGGTTTTTCCCAGTTTATTCAAATTACCTATATGTTTATTCCAATGTATATTTTGTAAACGTTTTTGAATAAACTTATATTATTATTATTATTATTAAGTCGTTTTCGAGATATTTCGGTTTTTAGTGCACGGGAATATTTAAATTAATTTGAATAAAAAATGTTCGAGAAAATGATTGAAATGTATTGCTAGTAGTGAAAAAAATTTGATATACACCTTCGGCTGAAGCCTCGGGATATAATCTTGGTCCCTGGGTAATAATGATATTCTTTATATTACTACCTTGGTGTATAAATAACTATTAATTTCAACATAAAGGAACTTGTTTCTTACCGTCGTTTTTGGGAACAGTAGATTTTTGGAACTGCAGAGTATCGGGAATGTTAGCATCATAGTTTCCATTGATTCGTCCCCACCCTGACACCACAGCTTCACCGGAATAACTCCAGTTGGACTTGGGAAGAGGTATCGGCTGGACCCTGTCATTATACGTCAGCGGTTCTTTCAATTGGAGAAGGGAGATGTCATATGCATCGAGGAAACTGTAATTTTCAATTTCAATAATTCATTTTTCGAATAGGCGAGTAGACTATTTTTTTTTATTTTTTAAATACACTCAGTTCCAAAAAAAGTGACGCACTTGATATTTGACCCATCTTCTTGAAAAAAAAAAATAGTAGGCCGATTTTTATTTTTCCAATTTGTTGGTAGGTAATGCATTAGTTTGGAAAAAAAAATTAAGAGGTGACAATGTTTTCAAAGCCTCCTTGATGGTGGTGGAATAACTCGAACCATGATTAATTCTTAATTTTTGACTCACCCTGTGTGTTAATTGAGTAATGGCATAAAAAGTGCTTACACCCTATACGAAAGAGGTTTCTTTTGCGAGTATTTTGTTGTTTTATTTATCGATTTATCTCTAAAATTTTCCGAATTACAGCTTTTTTTGCTGAATCCTTGCAGATTACCAACTTTCTGAATTTATCGATAAACAATTTTCCAATGAAATAAACTGATACCAATAATTTTGAAAAACATTTTTATTAAACACAAAATTATGAATTGGGATGACTGCTTAATACCGTGTATTGCCTCCTCTAGCAACTCTAAGTACTTCTAATCTACGAGGCATACTGGAAATTAATTTGCTTATCGTTTCCATTGGCATACGATCCCATTCTTCCACTAATGCATCTGCCATTTCTGCTAGACTTTCCGGAGACCTCTCGCGAGAACGTACCCTTCTCCCTAATTCATTCCACAAATGTTCTATAGGATTCATATCGGGGCTTTCTCGCAGGCCATTGTAATGTGGTAATACCAGTAGCTTCTTAGAAGTTTCGCACTATTGCTGCGGTGTGTGGTCGGGCATTATCCTGCATCAATATAAAATCATTGCCCACTAACTCTGCATAAGGTAAGACATACTGCTCTAAAATGTCAATGTAAATTTGGGCATTCATCGACTGCCTCACTGGAAAAACATGAAGGGATGTCTTTCAATGCATTGAAATCCCTGCCCACACCATAACGAACCCACCATTAAAACTTTCGCATTCTGTTCTTGAATTTTGATTAAACCGTTCACCAGTTCTTCTCCACACTCTTTTTCTTCCATCCACCATGTTAAGGCAAAACCTTGACTTATCCGTAAATAAGACATTCGACCATTCAGCAATATTCCACTGTCCATAATTTTCAACAAAATTTCTTCTAGCAGCACGATGTTCGGGCAATAATTTGGGACCTTTTGCAGGTCTCCTAGCTTTTAAATTGACTTCTTTTAGACGTCTACATACCGTCTGCTTACTCACTGCAACATCACGAATTTGGCGAAGATCTTGCTGAACATTTACCGCAGTATTTGATCGATTCCGTAAAATCCGCAATCATCTCTTGGAGAAGTTTTTCTGGGGCGACCAGAACCGACCCTCCGAGCGGTGCTTCCTGTTTGTTCGTACTTGCGGCACCTTGCGGATTGATCTACGAGCAGTTGCTTCATGAACTCCCACTGCATGAGCGGCGTAACGTTTACTACGCCCATCGTTTACTAATGCAACTAATTTTGCTACTTGTTCAGGATTTATTCGAGGCATTTTATGTAATTTTAGTCAATAAAACAAGACACTTAATTAATGACACAACGACAAATGGTCAAATATGGAGGCATACAACAAATTAGTTGCTATGGCAACGGCATTTGTTTTTTTAAAGACAATGTGATCCTACCAGAGTTCAACCCAATCAAATTTTAGTACTCTGATCCTTCAATAAATTTAATTTGTGGGATAAGCGTAAGGTATCAGCAAAAAAGCTGTAATTCGGAAAATTTCAGAGAAAAATCAATGAATAAAAAAACAAAATGCTCGCAAAAGAAGCCTCTTTCGTATAGGGTGCAAGAACTTTGTATACCATTACTCAATTAACACAGAGGGTGAGTCAAAAGTTAAGAATAAATCATCAAATTTTTTTTTTGGGCATGATTTATTTTCGATTGTGTATCGTTTTATTCCTAGAAGAGGACCCAGTTCAGTAGAATTTCGATATCAATTCGATTACTATCGTACAGGGCGTTCACCCCCGGTTGGGAAAATTATTGTAAGTAATTTAATTAAAATGGAAACCTCCCAATTTTATATTCTCATTCGATTCTGCATCGAAAATGAAGCTATCTTTGGATAGGGTTATCTATGCCTACACTCAACAGTTTTCGAAATATTGGCGAATTAACATGTCTCAGTTGAAAATAATAAACAGATTTAAGTATTTATTCGAATAATTCAAACGAGCCGGCATGATTGATTACAATGACATTTCCGTGGCAGTTGGTTGTTTCTAGACTTGGGTATAGAACATTTCACATGAAACATGTTCAGAATCATGCGTAAAATCTAAAACCTGGATAATATACAGGGTGTCCCATTCGAAATAACGAAGTTGGGGCATTTTTCAGGTATTCGGACTCCTCGCCAAGCTTTCATCTTATGGCTTGCCTCCCCAGCTATGTTCCCTGCTAGCTAGTTTTCTCTCAAACAGGTCTCTCCATGTAGTGGTCGACGGAGTTTCATCTGACTCTCTTATTATCATAAATGCTGGTGTTCCACAAGGGTCAATTCTAGTACCAACACTATTTCTACTCCATATCGATTTGTTGGAAGCAACTTCATGTCCAGTACACAGCTTCGCGGATGATAGATCCTTGCGGAACACCAGCATTTATGATAAGAGAGTCAGATGAAACTCCGTCGACCACTACATGGAGATACCTGTTTGAGAGAAAACTAGCTAGCAGAGAACATAGCTGGAGAGGCAAGCCATACCCAATTAGCACCAGACATCTTAAAGACGTACATTTTACGACTTACTTACGTCTTTACGTCCAGGGACGTATAAAGTACGTCTTTAAGATGTAAATCCATGTACATCTTAAAGACGTACACGAATTTACGTCTTTAAGACGTACATTTTAGGTCGTATCCACGTCGTTCCTCCCATGTCGTATAAAAGACGTCTTAAAGACGTACATTCCAGTACGTCAATTCGACTTATAGAACAATAATGTAAATTATTTTCTGAAGAAAAACAAAATGTCATCTCTTCACGTTTTTTATTTTCAATTGTTCAGTTTTTTCTTATTTTCAACAAAAGTGATGTTTTTGAATTTTTTCGTCCGACATTTTTTGGAGCCTTCGTGTTAGATTCTCGAATTTTTACAAAAAAAATCATATTCTCCGACCCCAAAAGTCCTATAGTAATCAATTTTGAATAAAATCGGACTATAATCACAAAACTCGTCCGCCATTTTGAAGCCGACATCTTGGATTTTTTATTTTCGACGAAAGGAATTATAATCTCTGATCCCGAAATCCTTCAGATGCCAATTTTGAATCAGATCAGACCATAATCAGAAAACCATATGCCACATCGTCCGCCATATTGGATCCGCCATTCTATTTTTTCCATTCAATAATAATATCACAACGAATTGTCACCGGAATAATATTTACTTGCCAAATTTCAAATCAATCGGACGATTTAAAGTGAGTCAAATTTAACTTGCACGTTTTGATTACAAACAGACACAAGGACATGTTAAACTAAGTAAAATCTTGTTATGTGATATATAGAACAAACAGAGTAACAGAAGAAGTGAATATGGTATAATCATCGAAGTCAAGCAACAAAGAGCGCGGTTAGTACTTGAATGGGTGACCGCTTGTGTCTACCGTTTGATGAAGTCGTTTATTTCCCTTTTTTTTTGCTTGTCTGCACTTGTTGCTAACTTCAGTGCACAAGTGAACTTCAACTGAAACTATGTGATTTCTCCGTAATTTGAAAGATCAATTTGAGGTCATGGACCAAAAACACCTAAAAAAGACGTCTTAAAGACGTACATATTAGTGGAAAATGTACGTTTTAAAGACGTCTTAAAGACGTCTCTTGGGCGTAATATGTACGTCTTTAAGACGTACTTTGGCTGATTGGGTAAGATGGAAGCTTGGCGAGGAGTCCGTGGTGCCAGACTCGATCGAATGCCTCGGAGATATCAAGTGCCACGGCTAAGGTTTCACCACATTCTTCAATAGATTGCTGCCATATATGTGAGACTAAAAATGTAAAAAAAAATTTTACTTCAAGTATTTCTCGTGGACGTGGGCCTTCTCAACCTCCACGGTTTGCCGCCATTCGCTCGTCTCCGACATGTTCAGGATGCCAGCCACTACCTGACATTGCGGCCCCTCGCAGGCGCAATGGCCGGCGGTGATGATCCAAGATGGCGCCAGGACCGACCCGCCGCATTCGTGTTTGCAGGTCGATTCCCTGCAATTTTGAATGGAGACCATGTAGGGGAATTGACCAGGAGCCGCGTCTTGCCCACCGAATATTTTGAGACCATCTGTCGGAGCGCCTGAAAACATCAATCTCGAATTTACACTAGTGGGCTTGTATCACAAAAAAATTGTATTTCATAATTCGATAGAACTCACCCAAACTAGCTCACCACCGCAAACCGTTTCTTGCTGTGAGCTCCCTACGTTTTATAAAAAATTATTGAAATCCCCGATTTTTCGGACCTCTGAAAACGAGGCGATGATGTGACGTCAAAACCCTAATACTGAAACAGGACTATTCCAGACAGAGATGAATGATACATGATTTCTGGCTGAGTGAATTAGCGCGAGATCACAGTTGGAAGAATTAATATATCAATTGCCTCAGTCTCCGTCGGGCGTTTGGTATTATTTTTAACTATGGCGAGATGAGGTTGCTACGTCATAAGAGGGTCCGTTTTCAGAAGGTACTATTATCTATGTCCCAAAATAAAATATTCCAGTTAAATTTTCGATCGAATTATGTCGTCAATCATTATTTATGTATGAAAGGATCATTATAAACATGGTTTGAGTTAAAAGTTCTACTAAGGTGTACACGCCCATTGTCTAATATATCCCATTGTTTCATTCAATATCGTCACCTGAACTTTCTTCGTACATATTCAGTTGATCCTGATGCTACGCAGTTTATTGAACTACCTACTAATCATAAGAATCTGAAAATTGCATTGAAGTGCCTGTTTTATGATGATTCTGAAACGAAGTCACACCCCGTATATCTTTGATCAGTCTTACTTCATATTCCATCGTGTATTGTCGATTAAAGTGGTTGAAACATAAAAAGTCACAAAACAAAGTCTCTCGTTCAGGTTATAGTAACAATATCAGTGCATTTTTGAGGGTGTGGGTGTGTGTGGTGTGAAATTCAAGTATTCGCTGTGGAAAATTGAAAATTTTTATGATTGAAAAGTGAAATATTCTTGTTCAATTTTGTTCTCTTTCAAGTTGGTACCTCTATGTGTTTCCACAGTTTCATTATGATGTGGAAGTTGTTATCACGTGATGGGTATTTTGCTTCGCTCTATTTATGTAAAGATCGAACGATTCACTTTTCACTAGCGTCTGCGGACAGGCGCAAGTAATAACTCCGTGGTAGGGGAACGTTAGTTAACTTGTGTCGAGTCTAATATAAGGAAGGAATTTTTTTTAACAATCAATCGACCTAGATGAACCTTTTTTCTTGAAGAAGGAGAATTTTTCTTGAGGAAGGAAAATATTGTTTCTGCATAAAAAATGAGAAAACCTAACCTAACTATTTTATGAGTATATCTGTACTTGTTTCGTTGACCTGTGTAAAACTTAATGTTTATTAACACCAAATAAAATATTCTATTCTATTCTAACCTAACCTAACCGAACCTCACCTCTGGCCTAAACATAGAAAACCCCTAAATGAACCTAGTTCCCATAGAGAATATTTTTTAGAAATCACTTGAGAACAAGAAAAAATTAAAAAAAGATGAGCCTCGCACGGAATCGAACCCCGGCCCGCCGGCTTGGCATGCCGATGGTCTGCTTACTGAGCCAACCAGTTGCTTACGAGACGAGGTATGATGAAGCCATTCAGTCGGCGACGCATAACACCAGTCACATCTACTGCCCACTATAACGTTCTCCCACCACGGAGTTATTACTTGCGCCTGTCCGCAGACGCTAATCACTTTTCAGATGGCTATAGCTCCCCAGGGGGCCATTTCTGGGTTCATGTTCATATGAACATTTTTTACGATCTTCGTTCCTACAAATCTTTCTATGTAATTCGATTGGGTCACTCTATATAAATAAATTGGGTCCAATCAACTCATTCTGACCTTTCTTGCACGTGCTAGCTCTGTGTTCCAGCAATTTTGGTACAGCCTGTATATAGCTCTCGATTTTTTCACATAACCTCGAGGCAAAATCTAATACTTTTTCTCTTTGTAAAATGACATTGAAAATGGCTGTTTAATGACACTTAACAGGCAGAAAAGGTATACTTTCACTGCCTAGGCAGAAAAAATTTGTTGCTATGCAACGTTCCAAGTCATTTTTGAATCAAATTGGTATTCAAAATTGACAATGACTCTGGGTGAACAAAAAATGATGAATTATTTGGGCTTTGCGTGGAATTAAAAAGAATTTGGAAAAAAAATTATATGTTCCACATGGCAGAAAGAAGATGTAATGCCAGCCGCGGCATTAAATCTTGTACTTTTCTGCCTAGTAAAACAAATAACTATTACTATCAGTACTCACCTGTCACGAGATTGCCAACAGAAATAAGTAGTATTTTGATGATAACTGAATATTCGTGTTTCTTCATTTTTAGTAGCAGGAATGTGATTCTTCACAAAATTCTTTCGGACTAGATTTTTTTTTTCCAGAAATCAGATACACTTATATCTGTTCTCAAGTGATATATCGATAAAGATAATTTTAGATAATATAATTAAGAGTGCTCAAATCACGAATAAATAACATAATATCGTAGACAAAACATTTATGATGATAATCGAGTATATACAGGGTTATTTGTTTTATTTTAAAACTAACTTTCAGCCCTCATTGAATTATCAAATAGGGGTGTTTTTATAAAAAAATCTTTTTAAAACAAGCTTTCATAATAATAATGTACTAAGCACACACACACGACAGACACCCTTTCAGACACACCGTCTCACAGACAGACACCGTTTTTTTTGTCATCTCTTGGAGCGCACGGAAGGCAATTCCTATAATGTTTGTGGAACAGCATGCGTACCTGAGGCGGATTGGAAGAGGAGGTAGGTGAATCCGAATAAAAGCTTATAATTGAGAAAAAAATCCGACCAAGATCGCAAAACTCATTCGCCATCTTGAAGCTGCCATCTTGAATTTCAAAATGTTTATGAAAGATTCAAAATGTCCGACCCAGAAAACCACCAGATACCAATTTTGAATAGAATCGGATCATATAACTACAAAACTCGTCCACCATATATTGGATCCTTCCTCTGGAATTTCAAATTATGACAAAATCAACATAATATCCAACCCCAAAAACCCCCAGATACCAATTTTTGATAGAATCGAATCATAATTACAAAACTCATCTGTTATTTTGTTTTTTCTCTATTAACAAAAATTTCATGAAGCATTAATTGTCACCAAAATTATGTACAGGGTGACTGTTTAATTTTTACTCGATAGTTTAATCTCAGTTAATTATTGGTTTAACAGACACGTTCAAATGGGAAAAATCAAGTCATCTTATAAAAAACCAAATTATTCAATTTTTTTTCGAATTGTTCAAAATATTGGGTGTTTTGGTTGGAAGACAAAAGATCGATCTATATAATTATAATATAATCTTCGTTACATTACAAAAAACTTAAAATTAATCTCAGAAACAAACCAAATTCTAGCTGCGTTCCATGCCTAAGAGTCATCTTATAAAAACCAATTTATTCAAATTTTTGTTCAAATTGTTCAAAATATTGTGTGTTTTGGTTGGAAGACAGAAGATCGATCCATATAATTATAATATAATCTTCGTTACATTACAAAAAACTTAAAATTAATCTCAGAAACAAACCAAATTCTAGCTGCGTTCCATGCCTAAGAGTCATCTTATAAAAACCAAATTATTCAAATTTTTGTTCGAATTGTTCAAAATATTGGGTGTTTTGGTTGGAAGACAGAAGATCGATCCATATAATTATAATATAATCTTCGTTACATTACAAAAAACTTAAAATTAATCTCAGAAACAAACCAAATTCTAGCTGCGTTCCATGCCTAAGAGTCATCTTATAGGCATCAGTCGTCAGTCACCTCATTTTTACAGAAAATTCATAGGTAACAAATTATACATAAAACTGAACAAATAATAACACTGATGGAATAATGAACTATGAAAGCCAGACAAAGTTCAAAGCCTTATCCTCTTATATTGTAATGACATTCCTTCACGTGTTGAAAAAGCATCTTGAGTTGTCCAAAAAAGTTACAACCCTTTTCAGCAAACACACAATCAATCACAAACACCTCAGCTAAATTATTCTCCAAGTTTCGTTCGAAAAGCAGGAAGCTTCTCTCAAATGGCTTGAAATATTGGGTGCTCTAATTGAAAGATAACAGATCAAAAGATAGGTGAATATAATTATAATATATAGGTACCTACTCTTGGTTCTATTACGAAAAACTTAAATTTTTTGTATTCCTATTCATAAACAAAGCAAATTCGTGCTTAGATGAATAACCTTATTTTCAAGGGCGTACCCAGCGAGGGGCAGGGGAGGGGGCAGCTGCCCCCCCCCCTAGAAGTCATCCTGCCACTTGACTTTTTCCCGAATACTGAAAATTGTCAGTACGCTTCGGAGAGTGAAGACCTGGCTTAGGAGCACTATGGGAGAGACAAGGCTGACTGGATTATGCTTGATGAGCGTACATCGGAATTTTGTGGAAGAAAACCGTAAAATGGTGGAAACAAAGGAAATGGAAAAATTTGCAGCGAACCCGAGAAGATTATTATTAAGATGAAAATATAACAAATAACAGTTAATTGAAATACTTATGTTTATTAAGATTTAAAAAAACGTCTCAGTTGAAGCATGGCATGTCTAGTGATTGATACTGATTCTCGGTAGTTTCTAGTTCCCTTGCCTAAGCTGCCCCCCCCCTAGTTCAGATTCTGGGTACGCCCTTGCTTATTTTGACAAAAAACTTATCAACAAATTACATAAAACTGAAAAAACCACAAGACTGGAATGAAACTGTAAAAGCCAGACAAGTTCAAAGCCTCATCCTCTTCACATTGTAATGACATTCCTTCTCGTGTTGAAAAAGCATCTTAACTTGTCCAGAAAAGTCACAACCCTTGTCAGCGAACGCACAGCTCAGCATCAAAACTTCTGCTAAATTTTCCAACGGCAAATTTCTGGATTTTCCAAATTTAGTTCGGCAGGAAGGACAGGAATCTAATTTGGCTTCACATGTGAAGCAAACTACGTGTCCATTCTCGCAATTGCAAATGTCTCCGATCATATATTCCATACAAATAGGGCATTGCAAACTGTTCCTCAAATGATCCGTTTGATAGGATGAAATCAGATCGGTTGGTTCCATATCATTGTTCGGTGACGTGTCGTTTGCAACAACTTCTGATTTTAAATTTATCTCTACAGTGACCTGGACCTCGGTTGAGTGCGGTGTCTTTAATAAGGTTTCTATGGAATTGAGAGCAATTTCTCTGCTATATGTAATTCTGCTAGCTTGATTTCCGTAGGTTTTTGAGAGGGGGTGATGAATCAGAGTACATTGTTGGTTCGAAACGCAGTTGAAACAGTGTTTTCTCTCATCGTATTTTTCGATATCCTTCTGTTCAAAAGTTACACATGCGTCATTAGAAGAGTTGGCAAATTTTAAATTGTATTTGAACGGTGTATGGTTGTTCAATGAAACACCATTTATTTTGAAATCAGAATGGCTAATAGCGATTACAATGAAAAATAGTTGTTTCTCGTATACCAGGACGCATGGCAGATGTATTGTCTCGCATTTAATTGTGAAAGATTTGTAAAAAATATTGTCCCTATGCTTGTTCAGGCAATGTTTCTCTATGTTCATCACTTTGATATACTTGCAGCTCAGGGGGTTGATTGGACAAATGACTGTCCTCTCGTTGCAAACTTCTTCATGGTCTTTCACTTCGCCCCACGGTATTACCTCATCGCAGCCATCATAGGTGCATGGGAATGATAATAGGTTTGCGATCTTCTCGAAAACAAAGTCTCTACCAAATGATTCTTTCGGTACCTTTTCACATCTCCCACATCGTAGTTGTGTTCCGTCTTCGGAAAGCAGGTGTACTGGTGGTACTGACATAATATTCTGGCAAAGCGAGCATTTCAGTGTCGTTATTTCAGTTTGAATGAGTTGCTCCAATGAATCTGCCATGATATCCTGTTTAAAGAAATTTTAATGTCAATAATGTAGGTATTAACAACAATGAAATGAACTTTTTTCGTCGATCTCGTATTAACGACTAAGTTTAATGTATATGAAATCGTTCATTAATGACCCCTATTAATAAACGATTTGTCTATTAATGCACGATTGTTTTATAGGCAACCAAACATACACCGCGTGCATTCATTGTTTATGCTATATCTTATGGAATCTGCATTTAAATCGAAAATATGGATTTCATCGAAGATTTTCTGTTAACGGGTTCGCCTTTCCAAGTTTCTGACACGATTTTAATCCCTGTTTTCTAACACAAGGAATTTATTTCCTATGTTGATCATTTCGACAAATTTATGTCGAATGACACTAATGTCAGTAACAAGGCTACTGGGTGATACTTAGCAGTTTCTGGATGGATGATGAATTCGCGAACCAAGTTTTCTTCATTGCAGGAGAAATGAGAACTATAGTCGACGGAAAAATTTTGTAACCAACTTGTATATTAAAAGGCGATTAATGATCTCGAACATTAACGCGCTCGCTTCGCTCTCACGTTAAAATATCTCGATCATTAATCGCCCTCATTAATACACTAGTTGGTTAAATAACTATTTCCGTCGACCTCGTATTAACGAGTAAGTTAAATGTTCATGAAATCGTTCATTAATGACCCCTATTAATTATCAATTTGTTTAATGCACGATTGTTCTATAGGCAACCAAACATACACCGTCTGCATTCATTGTTTATGCTATAACTCACGGTAGGTATCTGCATTTAAATCGAAAATATGGATTTCATCGAAGATTTTCCGTTAACCTTATTCGCCTTTCCAATAAGTTTCTAACACGATTTTAATCCCTGTTTTCTAACACAAGGAATTTATTTCCTCTGTTGATCATTTCGACAAATGTCAAATGTCAGTAACAAGGCTACTGGGTGATTCTTAGCAGTTTCCGGATGAATGATGAATTCGCGAACAAAGTTTTCTTCATTGCTTTGCTTGTATATTAAAAGGCGATTAATACACTATAGTTGGTTAAATAACTATTATTACCTGTCGATCGCGAGCTACCGGTAGCTAGCGAAGGCAATGGGAAAGACCACTGAGAGAAGAAATCCGTGCAAACCTCTTTCAATCGACGAATCATGATTTACGTTTGATGTACAATCAATATAATGAGTTAAAGTTGAAGGGAATCGAATCTATATCGTTTTGAAATCAGCATATTTCATTCGATATTTCAAACAGCCAAATATGATGGTGGAGTTGTGACGTATTAGTCCCGAACTGTGGCTATCTCTCTCTGATACCTCGTCATTCTGCAGTGTTGCAGTGTGATTGGTCAGTTCAAGGACAATAGGCGTGTTGGGAATAAGACGTCGCACCAGTCACACCAATGAATTGACAACATTTCAAATGGCGCAGGAATTGTGTGTTTTGAAATGGACATATTCTAATTTATTATTTTCATCGTCTTAGCATGAATGACGAAATTCAAAATTAATTCGCTGGTAGTTTTTCAGTATAGAGTTCACGATAATGTCATTTTGAAAAATCAGTGGTTTCCCCCATTCTGGTAGCTCTCACAACGATCCAGAGAAGCTTCCAATAATTCCACAATAAAATCTAATTGTCATTATATTTGCAACGTTGCGGTGAGCGATCTGCCGGACCAGCGCGTCAGTGTTCGAGAACGATCTGGATTGCTTTGAACGGGATAAATATGCATTGCGCGGCGACATTACGCTTAGTTTAAAACTGAACGCATATCCAACGTCCAGTGGTTGGGTTAGTAGAGAAAAACAAAAAATAATATTATGACAAGCAGTTGTAACATACCACTTTTCATTCGGAATGGGAAGAACAATACTTTTTTACATTAAATGAAGATAAAATGTGTGTTTGTTATGTAATACTTCGGTCTCCGGCTAAAAAAGGAAATATTGAGAGACATCATAGAACTGTACATTCTACTTTTGAAAAATCATTCCCACTACATTCTGCCGCCAGAAAGGAGAAACTGAAACAGTTAAAAAAGCAGTTAATTGGACAACAATCAATATTTTTAAGAATAGTCGACAAAAATAAGGCTGCAACTGAAGCATCGTACCGTGTGTCCCAGATAATTGCACAAAAAAAGAAACCTTATGAAGACGGGCAAATGATAAAACGGGCGTTTTTAGAAGCTGCTGATTCGTTATTTGGCAACTTTAGAAATAAAGACGAAATAGTTTCATCTATAAAATCTATGCAACTTTCTGCTAATACAGTGATGAGACGTGTAGAAGTAATGAGCAATGATATTTTTCACAGTTGAGAACTGACTTAGATAACTCTATTTATTGTTCACTTCAACTGGATGAATCAACAGATGTCGTTGACACTGCCCAGATGGCCGTGTTCGTCAGGATGGTTTTTAGTGATTTCCCAGTTAAATAGTGAAATAAATCCACATCCTTTCATTGTCAACCTCGAAAGATGTCGAACAGCACTTTATCAAAACTCCTTCATCCATACCCAGGTAGCACATGACGACTATATGACGTCTAATTGACGGCATCACATTCGGCCAAAAGACGTCTTTATTCCAACAAATGCGACGTCCAAATGACGTAAGTAAGACACATCCAAATGACGTCATATTTGAAAGTCTTTTAGACGTCAATATGTGTTTTCAAATTGGACCTTAAACTGACACTACTGACCAATTTCCGACGTCAATAAGACGTCTGTTTTTTTATAAAAAATTTTGAGGTTAATGGTTATAATCTGGTGAGGAAGGTTATCATTTGTGCTATAAAATAAATTTGCTACGAATGAAGATTTTATTAACAAGATAGTAATGTGAGGTATTACATATAGTTGAAAATTTCAGCGTCGATGGCTGCCCCTTCACCAGAGAGCTCTTTTGTATGTTTTGCTGTCTATAAATGGCGGCCAAAACACTTCCTTTTTCAACGGCGTCAGCCAAGTTTCGTGAACAACAGCTACACTGTTGCTTCCACTGTCATTAAATTGTAACACACAATACATCCTGAATACTTTCACGTGAACAACAGACTGTATAGAAATACCACTTAAACACTCAACATTTTAACATTCTTAACAAATCCAATGGCACAGACGCCGTTCACAAACAACACCCATTCGGACATGGACGATGGACGATGAACATGAACGGGAACGCAGCTGAACGGCAGTAACGCCACTAACGGCAGTCGCGAGTCGCATACACAATCTCTTCGCGTAATTACTTGATCGCCATTGGCCATCTGGTGGGTAATGTGAGAATTGTCTTTGGCGCTAAATTTAAACATTGAAAATCAAGGGAAGCCTATGGAATAAAATCCATTTTTATTATACAGTTATTTGGATAGATTAATTGATTTATTTCAACTTCGTTTTTCTATACATACATAATAATAATAATAATAATAATAACAATAATAATAATAATGATAATGATAATAATAATAATGAGGCCGCAGGTTCGTGACTGGAATCATATGAACTCAAATAATAATAATAATAATGATAATGATAATAATACCCAAAAAAATATGAAGACCATAGATTGACGTCTATACGACGTCAAACAGTGGCTGTCCATAAGACGTCAAATTAATGACGTCCGCATGACGTCATAATTTGGTCAAAAGACGTATGAGACCAAAAAAGACCTTAGATAGCGGTCCTATAGACGTCACATTCGTCAGTCTGGCTACCTGGGTAGCACAACTAGGCTCTGGAATCCATCGCCTGAGGAATTATTCCCAACAACATTTAATCTCAAGAAGTTCAAAAAAAATCCAATACCTACCTCCTGTCCCTATCCTCCCTAGGAACGCACGATGTTCTTTGAACATTATAGGGATTTCCTTTCGTACGCTCCAAGCGATAAAGAAAAAATTAAAAATAAATATGATGATAAATTAACTGTGGATTATTTCGGAATCGATCAAATACTGCGGTAAATGTTCAGTAAGATCTTCGCCAAATTCGTGATGTTGCAGTAAGTAAGCAGACGGTATGTAGACGTCTAAAAGAAGTCAATTTAAAAGCCAGGAGACCTGCAAAAGGTCCAAATTATTGCCCGAACATCGTGCTGCTAGAAGAAATTTTGTTGAAAATTATGGACAGTGGAATATTCCTGAATGGTCGAATGTCTTGTTTCCGGATGAGTCAAGGTTTTGCCTTAACATGGTGGATGGAAGAAAAAGAGTGTGGAGAAGAACTGGTGAACGGTTTAATCAAAATTTAATAACAGAATGCGAAAGTTTTTAATGGTGGGTCTGTTATGGTGTAGGGAGGGATTTCAATGAGTGGAAAGAGACCCCTTCATGTTTTTCCGGTGAGACAATCGATGAATGCCCAAATTAACATTGACATTTTAGAGCAGTATGTCTTATCTTATGCAGAGTTAGTGGGCAATAATTTTATATTGATGCAGGATAATGCCCGACCACACACTGCAGCAATGGTGCGAAACTTCTTAGGAGCTACTGGTATTGCCACATTACAATGGCCTGCGAGAAGCCCCGATATGAATCCTATAGAACATTTGTGGGATGAATTAGGGAGAAGAGAACGTTCTCGCGAGAGGTCTCCGGAAAGTCTCGCAGAAATGGCAGATGCATTAATGGAAGAATGGGATCGTATACCAATGGAAACGATAAGCAAATTAATTTCCAGTATGCCTCGTAGATTAGAGTTGCTAGAGGAGGCAATACACGGTATGAAGCAGTCATCCCAATTGATAATTTTGTGTTTAATAAAAATGTTTTTTGAAATTATTGGTATCAGTTTTGTCATTAAAAAATTGTTTCTCGATAAATTCAGAAAGTTGGTAATCTGCAAGGATTCCGCAAAAAAGCTGTAATTCGGAAAATTTTAGAGATAAATCAATAAATAAAAAAACAAAATGCTCGCAAAAGAAGCCTCTTTCGTAAAGGGTGTAAGCACTTTCTATGCCATTACTCAATTAACACACAGG